GAAAAACATGTTTGAAGTGCAAGGAGATATAGAATATCCAGAGGAAGAGAACGACAAGATCTTGGTGATGTACAGAGATGCCGCAGAGAAAGTTAGCGCAAGTCGAAAAAGCAGAGCAAACCATGAATAGGAGACAAAACGTGAGGAAAATTAAGGAAAGAAGCAAAATGGAAAATAGAGGGTGCGAGATCGGAACGACTAAAACAGCGATGGAGAGAGGCGTATAGCGCGTAAGATAAGGAAGTGAAAAAATCTCTAGGGGGGATAGGAGGAATTGGTTGGAGGAGAGGGCTGCAGCAGCAGAGAAGACCACTGAGAATGGTAGAAACAAGGAGCTATACAGCAAATCCAAGGTGAAAGACAAATAGGAGGTGCGTAAGACAGAATCACAAGAAAGATTGCAGAGATGGGTAGAGCACTTAAGTGAAATTTAAATAGAGATGATCCAACAAATCCGGCGGAAGGAGATGAAATAGAAGAACTGAAGGAGATTGAGGAAATAGATGTAGGAGGATGGCGAATACAAGAGGTAAAGGATACATTGAGAAAGACAGAGCTAGGGAAAGCAGCCAGAGTAGATGAAGTCGGCCTAGACCTACAGAGAGCTGACATGGAATACACCGCAATGTAAGCTGATTAGATGTCATAACAGGCTTTTGGAAACTGAAAGATGGCCGGAAGTGCGAAAGAAGGGACTTGTTGTCAAGATATTCAAGAAAGGTGATTTGTGTGATTGCAACAACTGGAGAGGAGTCACTTTGCTACCCATCATTAGTAAAATATTATGCAGGATGTGCAGAACGGATCTAGAAAGGTGTAGACAAGACGCTTCGAAAGGAGCAGGCTGGATTTAGACGGAATAGAAGTACAACTGAACAGATATTTATATTAAAGAAAAACATCTTAGAGCAGGCAAATGAATAGAGGGCGAGTCTTTACGCTTGAGGAACATCTTGGGAAACTACGGAATTCCACGCCAGATGGTAAAAGCGACAGTAGGTATATACGAAGGGTTTCAATGCGCAGTAATCGACGCATGCGAGATATCAGATTTGTACAAGATTAAGTCAGGACTAAAGTAGGGATGTAATGTCAGGATTCTTATTCTTACTGGCCATGGATTAGACCATGAAGAAGACAACAGCAGACGAGAGAAGAGGGATACGGTGGAATTTAACAACAGTGTTGCAGAATCTTGATTTTGCGGACGACATCGCACTACTTTCATTGAAGTTTAATGACTTACGCGAGAAGAGTGGGAGATTGACAGAGGAAGCGGCCAGAGTAGGTCTTAAACTTAATGCAAGACACTGAGGACTGAGTTTGCTAGGAACAGAGAGAGCATTGTGGTAAATGTTAAAGAAGCAGGAGATGTCGAGGAGTTTGCGTATCTTGGAGCTATTGTAGACAAGGAAGGTTCTCGCAGGAAAGATATTAGGAACAGACTGCAGAAGGCACGAGGTGCATTGCAGAGGCTATGAAAGGTATGAGAAGCCAGAGGAGTAGGAAGGAGAACCAAGATACGCCTCCTGCTATATGGTTGTGAAACATGGAAGATTACAAAGACCGATAAAAGAAAACTGAACAGTTTCCAATGCCAATGCCTAAGACGGATACCGAGGATTAGATGGTAAGAATGACAATCAAGAGAGTAGTTTAAATGGCAGAGATCAATTAAATTGGCCGCGAGTTGCGAGGAAGAAGGTGGAACTGGTTAGGACACGTACTTAGGAGAGAGGGTGTGAAAGACTGTTCTACGGCATTGGGGTGGACATCAGAAAGTCGAAGGGCGAGAGGGGGACCAAAGACCACTTCAAGAAAGACTGTCGAAAGAGACAGAGGTAAGGCGGGGTTGAAGAGCTGGAATGTGGCCAAGGCGGCGGCACGCGACAGGGGAGGGGTTGGGGTTGGGCGGACAATGTGACGGCCTTATGCGCCTAGTCGCGCAGCGAGCGATGATGATGATGAATGATTGTTAATTTCCGATGCTTCAGAGTATTTCAATAAATCAATTCGAATGCAATCTGTGAGTTGTTCTTCAGTGTACCGTGCTATAGGAAAAGCGCATTCTTAATAATTGTGTTAAGAAATATGTATCCCTTGTTAATTGAGTAAATTGTCCCGTTAGACCACAAATTTAAATTTCGTTTCCCCTTGTTCATCCTTCCCCCTCCCCCCGAAAGAAAAAATTAACAAAACCTGATTATTCTCTTACTACGTTCTTAAAATTTTAGATTATCTCAATCTGAATGTTACTATAAAAAAGGTTTTCGGTCACAAAAAATAATTGATCAAATTTCCTTTTCTCGAAAAATTAAATCAATAAATTACTCCTCCTGTGCGACCCTTTTCGTTTTAAAAGCATGAACATTTAAATTAAGGTTCATTTCATTTCACTCTGTTTTTCACACGGATTTCATAGGAACCTTTCTCTATAACAACGTCGAGGCTGAGGTAAACCAAAATTTAACACTGACCTAAGGCCGGGAAAGTAATTCATATTATGTGCACTTTTGTTGTTGCTGTTGTTATTGTTTTGTTTTGGTTTTGTTTTTTCTTCTTTGTTGTCTTCCTCTTTTTAATGAGCGGTTTGAATAATTGAATAATTGCGTATGAAAATTTTCTGTTTCGCAACAAATTAGTTGCGCATCTTGGACGCGGCATCAGAAAACGTCTCACAGCATTTGGAAAACAACATGACATACCACAACAAAGCAAGCAATTAGATTTGATACGTTTCCTGGTTACGCTCGCATTTATTTTAGAGAAACAATTTACCATATGCTTGTATATGGAAGAATTTCAGACCTCTCGCCAGCTGGCTTGGCTCAACAGCTTAAGGTCTGAAACCTATTCGCCACGAAACACTGGTGCCGCAGCGCTTATAATGAGGGGCTGCTCGCAGGGTAAAGAGAGTATAACTGTTGTTTTAATGAAACGTGTCGGAGGCCAAAAGCCTGTTAGCAGAAGGTAGTTTTGAAGAGGAATTTGAAGAATTTCTTCGCGATCGAGACACCACTCAGTACTATAAAATCTACGGCTAGCGTATCTGTGCATGCTAAATAAACTTAGTGGACACAAAAGAGTATATGAGCTTTTCTTTTTCACTTTTTCGTTTGATAAGCATGAGAAGAGAAACCTATTGACTATGACTACCTACTCCTGTTGTTCGCCGAATATTTGACCAATTTTTGTGTCTGCTGCTTTAGAAAGCAGAATCGAACAAAGGAAGTACAACAAGAACATACTTGACAGTTAGGATACTTGTACGAAACGAAATAGAGACACTCTCTAGAAAAATTTGACTAATTGGTGCGAAACTTATTTCAATATGCTAATGCTGCGCGGAGATTGGAAACCAAGAAACTGCAGAGAGACTTTGGTCAATTCTAGTCACTGCTACTTTTTGCAGGAGACACTTACCTATTTTTGTAAAAAGGAACTGATCTGCGACCATGCACAGTGGAATATTGCTAGGTCCTGCATTTTCATTATTCAACCTGGTGGTGATGAGAACCTCTCTTAGGTGGCCAATTCACGTTGTCAGTTGATAAAACCAAATTAGCCTTTAGATATTGAATTTAAGTTTGTCGTGGACGCTTTAACGATTTTACCAAGGATAGTTTTCTGAATTTTATATTATTAATAATTGTTGCGATAAAACGAGACGAAACGAAACGAACTCCAGGCGTGTCGCAACTAGTGGAAGGGAATTCTTTAATGGTCGTCTTCGAAGAACAAAAAACCGCGGAAAACCAAAGTTGACAGTTATCAGCCATTCAGTGCATCGAAATACACGGTTAGTAAGCAATGCCATCGATTTAGCCGTAGAGGTTGCTCAACAAATGGTCAAAACGTACAAGAGACAAACTTACGATTTCGAGTCGATATCATAACGAAATTGAATAACAATGCATCGAAAAATAACCAGCATACATCTGTGCTAAGATCCTACATAATATCCAGTCAAAGAAGTACGTCCATAACTAATGCCCCATTCACACCAAAGCTTAAACATGTTTAAAAGGTGTTTTGTTAAACACAGTTTAATTTTTTTTTTCTTCATAGAAACTATTTAACCGAATATTTTTGACTTGAATGTAGCACATTGGAAATGCAAGTTAGCAAGTACTTGAATCCAATGGAAAATCAAGTTTTTCAGTTCTCTGTTTATAATTTTCATTCAATGAAAACCAGTTTAACAAAACATGTTTTGCTGGTGTGAATGGGGTATAAGATATAAAGATAATTATCAACTCTTCCTGAATCAAAATGATTCTTTGACTTATGTTTTAAACGGTAGTTCCCTTCTTTTTCTGTATATATCACCATTTCGGTTAGAAAATTTAATCACTCACCGAGAAGAATTACGTCCTCGTAAGTTTCTTCTTCTTCAGTTCCTTTTTCTTTCTTTGGCTCTTCCTCTAGCGGATTACGTACTTCTTCCCGGGAAAACAGGATCAGGCAAAGCCATGTGTGTGACATGCGCGTGCATTCGCGAAAATTAAAGTCCAAGAAAGGGGGTGACTCTGCTCCCGAAAATGTAGTTTAAGATAAGAAAACTTGGAAATTTCGCAAATCATTCTTGGGGCTGAAAGGGTCATGGAGGGGGAGGGGGTATTTTGGTTGAACTTCGAGTTAAAAAAAAAAAAAAAAAAAAAAAACCCTTGACGAAAAAACGTTTCGCATGTTAATATTTTTTTAACCACACTTCCTCTCTCACAAGCAACATTGTCGATGAGGAAGTCACAGGAGGGGGATAATTTGGTTAATTTGTAGAAAAATGGGAGAAAATTTCTCACGCTGACTATTTCGTAAAACTCTTTTCAGTCACGCCTAACAGGCATCCCACGTAAAAAATGCCCATCATAGGAAAGCTGGGGAAGTATGTGGTGTATTATTCATTCATGATGTCGAAACGCTACATTTTTTTTATGATTATCCATAATCTGAACCTTGGCCATTAATCAGTTTTAAAGTCGGGCAGGAGCCATTCTTACCTTCCATCAAAAGTAGTATAATGAGGGTCCCCTGTAGCAATGCACATTTTAACAGGATTCTCTACCATGGTGATCTGTTCATAAGTAAAGGGAAATAATGACCAAATATTTAAGATAAATAATCTAAAAGAAGCGTTGGCTTGGTATTTAGTGTTTTTATATTGAATTAAGTCGAACCAAGTGTAATCTTCAGACTTTCCCGTTCCCAACGAGTTTTGGTCAAAGGAGGAAATTAAGTGTTAACAACTGAGTTGAAAACGTAAACTAGCCACCGTAAAGAGTTAGAAGGCTGACGTTTCGAGCGTTAGCCCTTCGTCAGGGCGATTGAAAAGGAGTATGTGGTCAAAGGAGTTTGGTAACTCAAATAAGTCTTGGTTCTTGTTTCACGAACCAGCTCCGGTTTACGAAACACTAAGCCAGTCTCGATCTTGAAACGAGTCACGCTTTTCTTTTTTTTTTTTTTTTTTTTTTTTTTATCGAGTCATCTGCCCATTTGTTGGTGCCGAAATAAGGGCTCGAGAACGAGGCGAAGTGTGAGGTCGCACCGAAACCAGGAAAAATGTATAGTTAGAGTAATGAATTAAAAGATGCTTCAAAAGTATGAAAGCCAATTCTGCCGAACACCATAAAAAAGTTGTTGCCGGATGAGAACTTACAGATGAGTGAGGGGAAATTGCTAAACCCTAAAACTTTAAATGCTTGGATGTACGACCTCTCTCAGCCACTAACATTCCGGAGTTCTCACTCGTATTCCCGTGTAGTCTTACTTCAGTAGTTTTGATGTCATCATCTAACCGTCTACCGTGCTGATTCGTAGCGAGCACTCTTCGCTGTCTTCGCTCTGTGTAAAAATAGTTGGCGAAATTGATTCGAGTATTTTGGCTACAACGTTCTATGTCCTTTCGAACGATTCCGGAGCACGATTTGCACTACATATCCTCAAGTTTTGAACTTACAGGTCTTCGCCGGTGCAAATTTTTTGTCTGTTTAATTTAATGTCGGTATTTAAATCATTTTTCTTAATTCTCAAGACGAAAGGTAAAGTAAAGTAGGTCAAAATCTGGTCGATATGCGATCATCATTCCCATTAATACCGTAAACAACTGAACAATAATCCATTCATTAAAACAACGCGGAATATACGTTACAATGACCCTAAAGAGAGCATCAATTACATTGGAATGAGCACAGTGTACCATTTCAATGTAGAGTTTTAAAATAATCGGTGCAGATGGCTAAAAGCCGCCTTAATCTTTTTTGGATGCTTTAATACGGAACTACAATTAGGGCCGAAAATGCATTCTTGTAGGAACTTTAATCAATTTGAAATTTAAAACGACCTACCACGACGGGCGGGAGTTCGTAGAAGGTCCAAAAAGTATCTCTGTAATCTGTATGTGTAACTGTAAAGGTAAACGCAGACGGAGCTAACGGTTGGTTTGTGTTGTCACACACTGCTTGAATTGATACATCATGCCATCTGTCTTCGTCACCGGGTTTTAGTTTTAGTTCGCACTTGCTTGCCAAAGGGCTCCTCACTTGTTTCAATGTTCCAAACTTGACCTTAAGTTCGCCGCCTCGAATGGGAAGTGTTGGTCGCAGTTGTATTTTGTTGAGAGCATTCTCCACATCACATTGCGTGACATTCAGATACGAAGGCCTGATCTACAGTAAGTCACATGTAAAGATACAAGGGTTTTTCAAAGCAATAGCTTTGTTCATCCATTTAATCTTTTCTAAATTATTTTTCTTCTCAGGTTGAGAGAATGTCCATGCTAACATAATATTGCTTACTTGAACCAAAACCCCACCCCCCCAAAAAAGGTGAACGGTGTCTACGTCATCACCCGCAGTTATCAATAATAGCAAACTCTAATAGGAGGGTCTATTTTTCCGCCATTGGTTGTATAAATGGCAGTGGGTTGATTACCATCACGATAAAAGTGCTGCAAACATTAATTGCTGTTCGTTAAGAGCCTTTTCACAGACTATGATCAATAATAATAAAATTTCTGGCTTCACTGCTGTCCAAATCTCTCCAAAAACTTAGTTAGGGAAGTAACGAATAATTCGTGCGCTCATTGTTAGCTAACGGTGATTTTCTAGTTGACTTGGACTTACCTCGATTCCCGCAAAAAACAAGGGGCTCGTTACCGCATTGGTCCATCTGTTGTTATCGTTTGTGTTGTATCTCGCACTAATGTTGCATCTTAGCTGTAAAATTTTAAATGAAATAACGAATCAATGATTAGAAAATATGGTAGTCTGATCCCTGTTCCAGGGTAACGTGGGAATTCACCAGTGATTTATTTGTTTAATTCTATCTTACTGTGAAGGGCACATTATATTCTGCAACACTACTAGAATGGCGGTAAGTTTCTGTTCAACTTGGAATAATATAATCAGAGCTCTAAAATGGAATTTTAGCATTTGATAACTAAATTGCCTTTTTAGCAGGAATCATATATTTTCAAGTGTTCATCAGTGTTAGGGCCGAATATAAAGAAACACTAATTTTAGGTCTTACGTCATTTAATTCATTACTGGTACTCAAGATGTTAGGTCTCCTCTGTCATTACAAGCACTTTATCCATAAAAAAAGTAAGTAGCTAATAACTAAAAACTTCACTGCTATCTATATAGAATCTATGCATTAGCCAACTCAGGAATCTGAACGTGGGATTATAAAAATCGACTGCACAGTCAGTTCGAGAATTCCGATCAAATATTTTTGTAATTAGCGCGAAGAGAGAATTACAAACAAGCTGTATTAATTTTTCATTCACTTAATTTTCAGAGTGCCTTTTCGTTCATTCATTCCTTGATTGCATCTCTAATCAAATTCGGACCAAAATAATAATATCAAGAAATCAATTTTTAAAGGTGCAAACGAGCAAACACTGCACTGAAAAAGGAAATGCGGTATGCAAAATGTTTCTAGGGGCCAAGTAGTTATGCATCGGTCTTTTTAAAAGAAAGCCGATACATGTTGAGGAAGACCATAAGAAGTATAGCAACAGATGTAATTACCCAGGATCCAGCTTCGAAGTCCGCACTTCTTAGTTCAGAGTGTCTTATGTCACACTTGCTTTCATTTGGATTTTCACAAATGGTTTTAGGTGGCTTGCCTTGGCCGTTTTCAAACCATTGAATCTTGAAAGAAACATTGTTCCAAGTTGGGAAATTGAAAGAACATTTGAGAGTTATTGAAGGTTCGCCGTTATCTACGTAGCTGATGTTTGGAACTGGTACATTGGCAAATGGAAAATCTTTAAGGGTCGAAACTAAAATAAGATTAAGAAATCGTAGATATCAAAACTAAATTAAATGAATTATGAAATGATGCTCATCATTAGCTGCGCTGGTGAGACTAAAAAGAACAAAACAAAACAAAACAAAACAAAGTGAAAAAAAAAGGCCAAAAATAACATTCAAAGAAAAAAAGCATGTAAAAAACCTCAAATCAAAACAAAACAGAAAAAATTAAATCAACTCTCAAGAAACTAATACAAAAACAAATACACAAACAAACCAAAGAAAAGAAGAAAAAATAAGTCATAATTGAGTTAGACGCATCTTATTGATTGTAACGTGTTCTTTCATATGATATTACGCTTGCGGATATTTGTGGCACAAAAGACTGATTGTGCGTAAGACTCTTGCACCCTTCGGGTCAAGAAGTCTTTAAATGCCAAGAACTTTAAAATTAATAAAAAAGAAAGAAATGGAGTCTTAGTCTTAGTTTTATGCTCTGTGTAACAGATCAAACATCTGTGCATGGGTATTTTACTAACCTGTGCAGTTTGGCCATAGCCCAGACTGACCTCTTGGGCATGGTCGCGCTGTCCCTATAACAAAATGGAACAAGAAAATGTAATTTTGAAATGAATCAGCTTGGCAAAAGTCGTTAAGCCCCCTGTCCCCTCTCTCCCCTTCCCCGCAACGCGTTGCCTCCTTCCAGTCAATAAAATTTTACCTGAATTCAACTTTGTTCGCCTTACATATGCTAATCTAAACTGTTTGAATTAATACAACATCTGTATACTCGAATTAGCCATAAAATCTGAAATACCCCCACGAATTTTTTTTTTACTCAAAATTTATTGTCGTTTAGAATATGTACCAGAAAGATAAATGATAGAATAATCGTAGTTAAGAGGAACTATGTGGTGATGTTTTCGGTCAAATTGCTGTTCGAGAACATTTCCCTTACTGCAGCATACGTAATAAAATTGAAGATGAAATTTACATCCTTATTAACTGCCCCATATTGTTACAACAATAGGCCTCTCCGTGGCCATAACAGGTCTCAAACACTATCATTTAAAATTCTGAAAATACGAGTACCGTTAGATAGCGTTTTAGAGCCCTTGTTTAGAGTTGTTGAAGAAGAATCAAAGCAGCCAACCAAATGTTTGAAAGGCTTTTCAGCTTTGACCTTCGAGAAAACCGGTCTTAAATCACATACTAATAAAATAGTGATTTGTTTTTCCTTGAGAAACATAGAATACGCGACGTAATTCTTACAGGAAATACTTTTACACATTCAGAAGGAATCTAGTGTCAGCATGCGAGCAGACAAACAGCAGCAAGTCACCTAAAATTTACTTTCACTCCTACTTTCATATTTTGTAGCCCACTATGTCCTAATAATTTTGGTGTAGTTTTTTTTTGTGAAAATATATTTCAGTTTTCGAGAAATTATTTTTTTCGTTTGACCGCTCAAATATGCAAATTTTCACCTTGACCATTACCCGAGTTGTGTGACCTCATGTAGCGGATATACTTAACATAATCCTTTGTCTAATCTTCTAAACTTAATCTCCTGTCATTATTGAAGCTGGCAAAGAAATATTTATTTTTTGGTAAATATTTTTGTCCGAGATACTTTTCCGATGTCGAATAGTAGCATCAAAACAAAGACAGTTTTAACAATTACCGATACAACAGAATCTGCTGAGCTTCAAGCTTTTAAGTGCCACTCTCGCTAAGAGCGGTCCTCTTGACTTCCCGTCGGAAAAAAAGTTTACTTTTATTTTTTGCCCATGAAAAGAATTTAGGACACATATTTAAAAAATAGTTTAGTTGTTCTCCAATTCTCGGTTTTTTGCGTCGCCACAAGTCAAAAATGATTTTTGGCCAGACTACCCCTGTGAACAGCGATCGAAAGAGTAAATTTCAAAGATTTTGTCCAGCGCGCAGCGACTGCAGCAATGTAGCTCACGGAATTTGTTCTTGCTACAAGTTACAAGATGTATTCAGTTAGTTCACAGACAAAATATGGAAACTTCAGCTGAAATATTTTTCATACCAGCGTGATCAGAGGAGACCCTTCTCTTCGACCTTAATTTGCATATTTAAAATTCACTACTTTGTACGAAAGAATTCTCAAAATGCAGGCGTTAATCGGGCTTAAAAGGTATATCAGTGCATAGTTTATACACCAATGAGGTCACGGATTACCTCAAACCCGCGGATTTATCTCTAGCTTCCATCCACCAACTTCTTAAAAACAACGCAAATCCATGTGTTTGCTCAATTGCGCTCGTGTCAAAGATCATTTGCATGATTCTTAAAATTGACCAAGATCTCCTTTTGACCGTTCAAACTTCGTTCGTTTATCTTCTTCGGTTCGTCTCTGTCTTTGATAACACTCTTATTGGTATAAATCACTACAATTGATACATAACAACACTGAGTTATCCATATCACCGACTCGGCAATCGCGAATACTGATCGACAACCCAAGATAAGAATATCTAAATTTCGAATGTCTGAAAGACAATTTTAGGACAAGAAGGCCATTCCTGGACACCTCTCGTTTTCTGCACATCGTTGACAAGGAAAAAGTGTTAGCAATAAATGTTTGATTGCCCAGCTGTCTTGAGAGAGCCAGAGAACAGTTGTACGCAACAAGATGAATGTTTCGCCAGTGTTAAATTTTTAATATCCGGGTCAGCAAGAAAGCACTTTTCTAATTTCCGCGAGCTAAAGACTTAGTTTCGCCTTAGATGCTCGACACATCTGAGTCATATTTCCACCTATTTTCAGTGAAGAACAGGAGAAAAAGTGACATTGTAAAGAACTTTAAAAAAGCGTGATGTTACATTTCATCATTGATCTATTATGTTGCCGCATTAAGCTTAAGTAGATTTGGTTGGGTTGTCTCAACAAAATTAGTGTTGTTTACGAAGTGAAGTCTATTTCCGTCATCTTTACATTCAGCGCTCCTTTTGGTTTGATTCGCCTTATTGATTAATAATTTCCTTCCTTCAACACGTTCTAATTCAAGTCGCAATTACTTAAAAATCCTTTATCAACAAAAATGTTCAAGGACGTCCTCTCATACGGCATGTACGGATATGGGTGTTAAGTTATTAAAAATGCCTCGCAACAAACCTGCGCAATATGCCGTGGGGCAGCCAAAAGTTGCCGTGAGATGGTAGACAAAATAGTGATCGTTGCAGTTTTTTACTTTAATTGGAAGCGTCAGGCAGCCATTATTCATGCCATTGTAGTTCATACATGCTGTTTTATCGACGATACCATCTGCTGTAGCCGGATGAGGAGGCTTCATCCAAATTGGAGCATACGTTCCACAGTGATAGGAAGCTATTTTCGTCTCAGGCATTTCCCCACCAACCTTGTTTATAAAGCGATACCATCCAGTTTGGAGTTTATCGTCACAAATTAGCGGATCTATTCCGGCCCTTGGCTTATAACCAGTGCTTCTATACGCATTGTTTATGGTACTGTGTGAAACACAAGGGTCTATCGAACTAGGGGTTTGAGCTTTTGAAAAAGCCATTCTCGCAAATAATATTATGAAGACAAACAGGAGAGGCATAATATTGCCGACTGTTTGAACTCGGATCGATTACGAAAAATGATTGCAAAATCTAGATCCGCGAGTTCTACTCACAAACGATACTGATAAGATCTGCAGGGGCAGGGAAGATAAATAGAAATTCGATATCATCCACACATGCGCTGTTTCAGGATGGTTTCTGAAACAAGGTCACTGCATTTGCTTTCCTAACCACTTTTGAAACGTTGCCGCTGTTATTTCTAAGAGCTAAATTCAACGGTATAGGGTAAAATTTGGACTGGAATATGTTTTTAACTATTTTTTTGGACCATTCTAGACCATTTTTTTAGACCATTTTATCGGAAGGGAAGCACACCATTAGTACTCAGGGAGGGTGGGATGCAGTCTATCAGTACTAATGGAGGGGTGGGGCACAGTGTTATCTGTCAGGGAGGGGTGAGAGAGAACTATTACAACGCAGGGAGGGGTGGGAGGTGGTTGTAATAGTAAAAGCTACTGGATCAACCTTTGAACGACCGGGGCCTGATGTATTGAATTTAACATCACTAAAAGAGCAACTGATACCACCTCGCATACTATTTATGCAAATACGTGAACTATCTAGAGTTGGTCAATCATCTATTCATAGAAACATTGTCTATGTACCAAGTGATGTAAATTCAACTGTTCATTGTCTCCCAAGGCCAATAAGTGATTCACAAACCATTCCAATAAAACTTAAAAGGCATTTCAGTTAAAAGCATCACTATCAGTTTTAGAATGTTAGACCTAAAAAAGTATTAGATGCAGCCAGATATCTTGTAGACACCCCTGGTGAAAATATTAGAAGGATCTTTAAGGATCCATAGAGATCTTCATGAGGACCTTTGAGGATCCTTTTGAGGATCTTCATGAGGATCTCGGGAAAATCTTCGAAGATCTTCAAATTCTTGTTAAGATTTTCAAGGATCTTTCATTTTCTTGCCAAGATCTTCAAGGGTCTCTGAAAATCTTACCAAGATCTTCAAGACAAGAACTTTGAAGATCTTCAAATGATCTTTGAAAAAATATTCGAGGATCTTCCAAATTCTTGTCAAGATCTTCAAAGATCTTTCATTTTCTTGCCAAGATCTTCATGGATCTTTCATTTTCCTGCCAAGATCCTAAGGATCTTGTCTGGATCTTCAAAGATCATGCTAAGAACTTTGATGATCCTTTAACCCTTTTAACTCCCAAGATCTCATTAGTAATTCTTCCTACTGCCTTAAAGTACTGATGATTTCAATTTGGAAAATTTCTAATTGGATCAACTGGTAGTCCCCTAATTGAGTTTTCATCTTTATTCGCTCCACTAATCTGCTTGGTTCTGTGTTGATATTGAAAGGAGAAATTCTGTCTTGGACACTCATGGGATTTAAAGGGTTAAAGATCTTTGAAAATTCTTTGAGGATCCTTTAAATCCTTGATAATATCTTCCAGGATCTTTTATTTTCCTGCCAAGAACCTAAAAGATCTTGCCTTAATCTTCAAAAATCTTGACAAGAATTTTGAAGATCCTTTAAGATCTTTGAAAAGTATTTAAGAATCTTTCAAATTCTTCTTAAGATCTTCAAGGATTTCTAATTTTCTTACCAAAATCTTCAAGGATCTTTCATTTTCCCGCCAAGATCCTTAACAAGCTTGTTGAATCTTTAAAGATCACAACAAACATTTTGAAGTTATATTACAGATCCTTCCAATTTTGATACGAAAATCGGCAGATATGGAGTGAAGCATGAACTTAACCATTGGAGAATGGATGTAAAGGTTTGTTATGTAAACTTGGTGTAAACAACAAGGGTTACAATAGGTTTATGGCCAAAAGAAGAAAGCTCGGAGTAAGTTAAAAGAAAAACTGAACCAAATATCAAAAAATGAAGATAGAACTTTTTTAAATTTCTAAATGAGAATTACTCATCTTCTTTAACACTTAAAAAGACCACAAATAAACAAAACACTATTTAAAACATTGGTTTTACATAACTTTTGAATTGTCTTAATCAAACACTTTTTAACTTGCCATTTTAAATAGATAAAACAAATACAAAATACTACCTTTATTAAAAATTTAGGGCCAAGTACCCCTGAGCTGTACTGTATTTCCTCAAACTAGCACCTGGGCACTTATTTCGTATTCCGGCTAGAAGGAGGGGCGCTTATTATAAAGAGATCACTTGATCGAGGGTAGCACTTATTGCGAAATTATTAAAATGGTCAGATTCTGTTGTACTTGAAGCTTAGAAAGTTATAAAAAACATGGCTGCCACAATAGAAACAGGTTTTACTTATTATTCTCTACTATTTAAGAAAGTGAGGGAGGAAGGGGGGGGGGGGCTATTCCATGGAGAGGCCTGTTTGATATGTTTGATATTATGACCTAGGAGGTCGGTGCTTATTCAGTGGAGGGTTCCTTTTAGAACCACTGGGTGCTAATTTGAGGAAATACAGTACTTAAGACTAATGATAATCATTGGGTCTGTTTCTTACTCAAATCATTACATTTTTAATTGATAGCCCTTCAAATATCAGGCCAGAATTTGTTCATGGTCTTTGCTGAGTATTTCCTTACAATACAACCTGGATGGGAAAAAATCAGAGAACTTGTGGGTCATGGCAGACCTACGAAGCGAAAATTGAAGGTGCTCTCCCCTGACCTTCAAAAAGGAACGTGTATTTGCAGCCTTCAGAATGTTTTCAGTGATGTAAAGGATACAGTGGGCTCCTTTTTATACTTGAATTCTTATTTAGAGCAAAAGTTCCGTTTTATGGATTCCGCTAAATTTTTCATGTCTCCTTATTTACGAAATTTATTGTGCTGCTCAGCTACATAAATTGAAGGCTTTTCTCCTAAAGGAATGACATGCAAGCGGAAAGCTTTTCTGACGGAAAAATCAAATAACTTTGCACTATAAATATGGCAGCAAAAGCATATCGGACCTAGTTCTTGCGCTATTCCTAAGTCTAAGATGAAAGAAAAAAAAAAAAAGAAGAAGAAGCTCGTCCGCCTTGTAAAGGCGACTTTAAAATGCGCCTACAAAGCGAAATTTGAAATAAGCCACTCTGTCATTCGCTAATCTTCTGGTAGCGCCCGGTATCGCCTGCCATCCCAATTTTCTGATGGTGACCGTAATCATTCAGTTTGTTTTACCGAGTTCTTGCTAATCAGAAGCCATATTGGCGATATGCCTACTTCTTGGTAACGAGCTCTTCCACTGGAAAAGCGCAATTCCTCGTAATTACCAACGTCTTTCCAGAGACCCACCCTCATAGCTGACAAAGTTTTCCTTAAAACGCCCTTTTTTAGCTCGTATTTCTCCTGGTTCGGGAAAGAAACTTCAGAGGGCATTCAGTGAGCAGGTTGCTATCCACTGATCACTCAAGTCTACTCCCCTCATTAGAGAACTGTACATTTAGTCTGCACTAAACAGCAAATAACACAGTAGAGTAAACCGAATGAGGTTATTTAGGGAAACCTACCGAGAACCAACCTCATATATTGCCTGAGGCATACATACATGCATATATTCGCAACTGATATACCATATACAATCCTGATATACAGTCAATTCCTTACACATTCAAAAAAAGGTATACATTACTAACATGCAAACTTCACCAAGTCGGGATTAACGGAGATGGGCAACTGCTTACGAGGACGTTACTACGGTTATACGGAGGCCAGAAAAACCTGCCAGAAAAAACCCCTTTGGGGAAAAAATATGACAGGGAATCTGGGTAGGAACCGTGGCCCAAACTCAGAGCAGTTGGCAGCCCGTCCCACGAGAATTCACAGTTAAACAAAATAAGTTTTCAAACGAAAATAACTTTGTCATCAGCCAGAGATGGACGGTTGATTCTGAGGCCTAGATGGACACAACGTGCTACACTCCCCCTTAGGTGCCATTGCATCATTACCCATGATGCTTGGGCCTAAGGCCCAGGCCTTGTCGTATCTCGTGCCGACAAAATATTTATTTCTTCCTTATTCGCAGACTCAATCGCCAGAAATACCATATTTTGATTACTTTTGGCTGAGCAAAGTTTTTTGTTTACCACCGGCCTGCGGATTTGACTTTCCTTTTCACTTGACCGATTTCTAATCCCTTTGGTTTGGCAGCAGATGGCAAACTTCTTGTCTTTCCATGTGACACAAGCTAAATTTTCGCTTAGTCGAAAGGGGGATTCACCTCTCTGAAGTCTTTTGACCAGTTCGTTGCTCGGGTGAACAATGTCTTTCGGCAGGAACTTCCTTCCCTCACAGTTCCACCATCTAGAATTCATCATCTTTCCAACTCCGAAAAAAGAGTGGTACACTGGTAAGCTAGTTGTCAACATACAACCTGTATCCCCTATCGACATAAGGCTCGATTAGCTAGCTAGAGAACTTCACCCATGGCCAGGTCTCTGCTTGCCGCAGGACTTTCCTTGCCGATGTAAATCATGGTGTTGAGGACATAGCCAGTTGCAGAATCTGTCACGACAAAACCTTTCAGCTCAAATCGACTTCTTTTCAAAGGCAAAAATTGCCTAAATTGTACTCGTCCCTTGAACATTATCAAAGCCTCATCCAAAGACAAATTCTGCGATGGTGCATAAACTTCTGTAAATCTGGGCAGCAAGGCATTCAAAAACGGCCTGATTTTCGACAGTTTGTCTCTATTAGAGTCAGAAGGGTCTGGAGCATTGTTGTTGTCGACAAAGTGCATGCAAAAACCGCAGAATTGGAAGGTAGCGATCTCTCGATTTTATATTTTGAAATCAGAGGGTGCTTCCTTGTCAGAATCCACGTGGGCAACACGAAGAAAGGCAACAGGAAGATCGTCTTCGTCCACAAAAGCTAATCCGGTCGCCTCCGCAGCTGCCATTTCAAATCATTCCGCTAGCGAATTTACGCTTAACATACGGCTACGCCATATTTAAATGGCCGACGCAAAATGCACAAGTGATAAAGCAAAAAATTCGGAAAAATGATATATTTTGAGTTTCGAATAGCTGTTTTCACAGAGATGTCTTTATTCTCTTTCAAATATTTTGCAATTCGCGGGAAAAGTGTTTACGAACAACTGACTGTTTGCTGCGTGGGATACTGTCTTTTCAGTGTGCTCTGGTAATGAACAACTTTGTCAACAAACGAACGTGTGACATATTCCGGAACAATATAGCTAAAACACTATTTCATAAAACGAAAGCTTTTATCGTAATAAATGTAAGGTTTGAAAACTGGCAAATATCAGTCGAGACATATCCTCGGATATTCTCCATTTTTTATAATTTATTTATTATCTTACTTTTATTGGTTTTATTCGATCTCCTGATGCGCTTCGACCAATCGTGCGCGCGCAAAAATATTTGATGATTTATAACCGTCGGTATTTTAAGGCAACTGAGATAATCGGGTGCATGATTCACCGATCGATCTAATCATAGCTGTGCTTTCTCCATTAATATTCTTGTCCCTTTCTTTAAATTGATCATGATCAGTTTATCGCACCTGGAATGTCGAAGATAAATGAAGTGTTCTATAAAAAATGAGACTTTATTCAATAAACAGCAGTCTACAAAACAGGCGCTTATTACCCCATGGGTTATATATACAATAACAAAAGCAAAGTGATCTAAATTGTGGCAATAGCGCTACTCGTTTTAGCTAGACTTAAAGGACCGAAAATGAAAATATTCGTCGTGGAGAGACGGAATTAGTCCTATTTTTAGCCTGCTCGGTGAACGCATGACTGGTTTCCACTCTCCATTTCCAAGAACTGAAAACTGTACGGATATATTATCTTAACATCAACTTCAATTTATGTCGTCTTCACCTAGCGATATCTGAACAAATGAAGCACGCACTGATAATGGGTGAAGTTTAAATCCTTCAAACAACTCAGCCCTCTAAGACTCTTTGGAACTCTTCAGTTATTCTAAAGCGCGTATGCGTCTCTGTTTGTTGCTAAATAACTCAAACCAATTTCTAAACTTCAAGAAACACCTTGCAAATGTTTTATTACATTAGTGTGACCACGCTTACTTTGCCTATAACCTCCTCGTTGCTTCCTATTCAAGAAACATTTTCAAACGATAAAGTGATGTTCTGCAGGTAACATTAGGATAGTGATGAAATAAGTTTCCAAGCGCGAAGAGGTGAAGTTATGCTGGAAATGATCAACATATATTTGAGCCAGAAATTAAAGCTGATTCGCCCAAACTGTGTTCAGAGATAATATGTAATTCAAACTTTTGTTTTGGAATCATGATATGGATCCCTTTTCCTGTCTGCCTTTCTTTTTCGTTTTTTAATGAAAATTTCAAAAGTAGTCCTGCAAAATTGGAAAATCGATTCAATTACGTTTTTATACGAGTTTTCCGTCGACTTGTATTTTGTTTTTATTAATCAGCAAAGGGACAATGAATATCGAGTCCTCTATAATTTGAGAGCAGGCAACCTATTTGAGAAAGAACCTGTATAAGCAAATTTTAGAATATGCCAACTTTGTCGTTCAATTTATCCCAATTATTTTGAAAGTACCAATCTCCTGATAGCGCTCACTATCATTCGGTTTACCGATTTCCTGGTAATCAGCAGCCATATCATGGGTGCTTAATTCTTGGTAACGAGTTTCTCCATTGGAAAAGTGCAACTTCTCGTACATGCCAGTGTCTTTCCAGACACCTAATTCCTCGTAGCTGACAATGTCCTCCTTAGAACGCACTTCTTTTAGCTCGTAACTATGTGGGCTTAGTTGAGGAACCTCAGGAGGCATCCCGTTCGAAATGCGCCGGTTGTCAAGTCTCCCTTGACGGTGGCAGTGGCGGACGAGGCAAATGCTAACGAGCACGATGACAAATATGCCACCACAAGAAGCACCAATGATGAGTGGGTAAGGAAGTTTTTCTTTTACATCGTTCGTTGGATCTAAAAGAAGATCATTGGACAGGTTTAGTGCTGTTACTACTGAAACCACTATATTTCTGATGCTGTTGGTAGTGCTAATCTTAAAAATCCTTCCGTTGCTGCTTCTGCTACGACATCCACTATTTTTACTACTGCTACATTCTGTACTGCAATTGCCCGGCTACTACCATAGCTATTGCTAGAACTGTCGTTGGCTCTTGTGCTACTGATATTGCCATCGTTATTGCAATTCCTAAATCTGGTGCTACTGCTTCTGCCGCTGCATCTTCATCGACTCCCTTTCGCGCATCTATAGATGCTACTACTATTAATAGGGGACTGTTACTGATACTATTTTTGTTACAGAGCGTCTTCAAATTACCTTCGTCTTCGAATTCGTTCACTATTTTTAACGACTCCGGGTTGACAGTCAAAGGACCAAGATTGCCATTTTCCACGGCCTTTTTTAACGGAGCAACTGCTGTGTCATCTGCAACTTTTTGCTTGAATAGTAGCTTGAATTCTGCCACAACACTTCCGGGCCTGTATCAAATAAGGACAATTAAAAGGTACTGATCATTATAATAGTTGCATTGTGCAATGGTAACATCATTCATTCACCTACTAAACTTAAAGCTTGCATACCTGAATGCTACAATTTGTACTCCAATAAAGTTTTTGAGCCCAGAATACTGTTTTTGTACCTGCAAGTTTAAAAAGATGATCTCAAGACGTTTCGTCAATATCTTGCGCGACAGCTTTTTCAAGGGTAGAAAGCTTTCTAAAGGTTAATGAAGGCCCCTAATAACGTAAGGTCATTCATAAGCAAGGACTTGCACCTGATTACGCTTTTAGGGCTGCGAAGTGTGACCTTTATTTTATGAAATTTCTTATCATGCTAATTTTGAAGAGAAACAACATGTGAATGTAAAAGATTCATTTGAAGAGCAGTGAGATATCTACAGGTAATACTTATTTCTTACCTCATTTTCAATGAGGGAGGCTAGATCTCTATAGGTTGGAGTTGTTTTATCCTTTAGTTCGTCATTCCATGTCCTTTCAATACGTATTTCAACCGCAACCACTATAGAAGAGAAGTCAAGAGGATTGATTTTGATAACAAAACAAAATAATTTTAATCTCAGCCTTTCCCTATAGTCTTGTGACTTTTGGCATGAAAAACAACATTTAAGTGTCAAATATTGAACATTGGAAGAATGTTTTTATTGACGACTCGCTCGTGGACAAAAGGGAAAACAAAAAGATTTAAGTTCTGCGGCGATTACTCCTCCTTCGACATCAATTTTTAACCACCAATATGCACGTACCAGTTTCATAGTCTTCCGTTGTTGGCTTCGATGTTGTCGTTCTTTCGCGGGCTTCGCTTGTAGGAATATATCCAACCACTGAAGACGACATAACGGAGTCTTTGACTGCGGATGTGGCTCGTGTTTGGTGTAAAGCACTAGATTTTGTGGTCGAACTGGTCAACAGATGCGTGGGAAATACGCTACTTTTGGTTGATTTAGAACTCAAGGATGATGTACCTACAGAGATGTTGGTCGATTGAGAACTCAAGGCTGATGTACTCATAGAAGTGTTGGTTAATTGAGAAGTCAAGGCTGATGTACTCATATAGGTATCGGTTGATTGAGAACTCAAGACTGTTCTGCTCATGTGAGAGTAGCTAACAAGAGTAGAATGCACGGTGACAGCTAAGGATAGGAAAAGAAAGTATGTTTTTCAATCTCATCCCAAAATTGATGCTCACAATAAAAGGTAGCGGGTATCCGATTTCTTATAAAGCTGCTTGCAGAAAGGTTGTCGGGAAAAAAGAGAAAAGTGCACGCGAAAATCTCGAAAGGTAATCTGGGTATCCGATAAACAATTAGTTCTAATAGGTGAAACAAATCAACAGAGACAAATATCGACATGCTAGAGAATAGGAGAGGAACGAAATAATAGAAAATTACTTTCCAAACATTTTTTTCTTCAGGTCACTTAGAATTCCCCCTTTTTTAAGTTTACATCGTTTTCGTCGTTCACTAGAGTAAGCTTGTTCTTTTTTCCGTTTTATCAAGTTTAGAAATAAAAGTCAGTCTTTCGAACATATTAACTCATCAAACTTGCTGTGTATCTTCCTTACAGTAATGTTTTCTTAGATTTTCCTGAAATCCTGAAGTCAAGGAAATGTGACCCGAGTTTCTCGCATGCAACCTTTCTGCAAACAGCTATAGAAAATACTAAAACATGCTGATTAAAACCACACCCTTATGAAACTTTTTGGCCTTACCATTAAAGTGAGCAACATTTTTTTAATATTCTGGTTTGCAGTACATTGCGACGCTGTCGATTATTTTACTTTGTACCATGACCGTCAAAAAATGAGATCTTCCTCCTAACTTCAGGAATGTTCATGAACAACCTGTGCATTTACATTGATGTAAGATAACAACTCGCACTTGTAAATATTCGAAAAATTTATGTTGATATTCAAACCTCAAACACAAAAATAATTTAACTTAAAGTTACAATAAAAAGACAAAAGCAACCTTCTCGAAAAGTCTTTCTGTCGCAATCTAAACCTTACCAGTTTCGCATCGTTCACCGGTATACCCAGCGAGGCAATTACACGAGTAGTTGTTGGTACCATCTACACACGTCGCACCATGAGCACATGTATGATTGACACAGTCATCAAAATCTGTGACAGAAAGAAGAGCAGGTAACCATGTCCCGTTGTAGATAAAAGTCTTAAGACGCTCGGGAAAAAAAAACTATTCGTCAACGTTGTAGAAACTACTTTTATTGACTTTTCCCTTGTGATTTTCTGTTTAAATAACTAAACAGGAACACATACAATTATCATCGAAAAAATAAATTCTACAAAAATACAAAACGAAGACTTCCAATCACATGATAAAGGTTTTCAGGGGGATCCTCGCCGAATGAAAACTTTAAACAACAAATAAAAACAAACAACAACAAAATTTATTTACGTTAGCAATTGAAATACATATCCAACAATCCCTAGCCACAAATGAAATTTAATGGGGTGTTTTATCTTTGACAAAATCATGCATAAAAAAACAATTTTTGAAAATAAATAATAATAATAATAAGAATTCTTGACAAGTTGAATAAAGGCACAGTATGAAATCTAAAGGGTTCGACAAATATGCGGAGAGAATGTTTTTGAAAAGTCAAAACCTTTTCCAAATTTCATCGGGCAGCTTGGCATCAGACTAATTCCCTACTTCTCTTCTCAATCGCTCTGAAGAAGGGCTAACCCTCGGAACGTCAGCCTTTAAACTCTTAACGGTGGCCAATTTACGTTTTGAACACTAAATTACCTGATATACTCTCCCACCGACGCAGCACCACAGTTTCTTTAGAAACTTACCCTTTACTTCTCCATTGGACAAGTAAGGTTGAACAAGAGATTGATATAAGGTCAATACAGTTTGTGGGACAAAATGTCTGAATCGTGATAAAATGTCTGAAGACTCGCTAATTGTCGATGTTACAAATGCAGTGTGTTGAGTCAAAGAAAAATTTAAATCGATTAGGACACCAAAGTATTTCATGTATTCTTTCCGTTCCACAGAGACAAGGGAATTGGCGCTATAATTAAACATGTTTTTGTTCACTTCATAATCAGCACGTTTTTGATACTGTTTTAATACATCAAAGTTCTATTTTGATGTTTAGAGATCTACACACCAGTTACTCGCATTCCTTCGCTCCTAGTTAGTTGTTACTTCAAGAGATCTCAAACTCTTATCAGCATAAGACAAGTTGGTGTCATCAGCAAATAAGAAAAAGTCTAGTTTCTCATAGAGAGTATAGATGTCAACTATGTACAACAAGAGCAGTTAAGGTTCTAAGATTGATCCTGGTGGGACACCACAGAGACAAAACTCTTTAACTTCTTAGATACTTAACTGCCGACTTGAGTAGTTTGATGTTGATCATTCAGATGAGAGAAAACTAAAAATCAATTACTCCAGGTATTCCGTGATGTTCGAGTTTTCGCAGTAAGATTGAGTAATTGACGACCTTTACAAGTAGAAAAAGGCCTTATCATCCCATTGCAAACTTGAGTTGACGAGATTAACATTTTACTAACATCAACAAGCAAAATAACAGGGCCACGGCCACATGGTCAAGAGAGAAAATCAACTTCGTCCCAAATAAAATATTACAGTCGTTGGAGAACCTTACCAGTTTCACATCTTTCTCCAGTAAACCCAGAAAGGCAACTGCACGAGTAGTTGTTGTTACCATCCACGCACGTCGCACCATTAGCACATGCGTGGTTAACACAGTTATCAACGTCTGAAGAAAAAGAGAAGAATTACACCGCGGAAGTGAAAAAAAGGTCATTCGGAAGTCCCAAAAATGTTACTGAACCTGAAAAGATTCATTCAGTGAAGAATTATTAAACCATTATTCGCAAATATTCAGTAAAGAATTATTTCAACCACGATTTGATACCATTAACACTAACCCGTCTGACATTGATCTCCGGTAAAACCAGCGAAGCAAATGCACGTATGGTTGTTCACACCGTCCACGCACGAACCACCAATGGGATTACAAGTATGATTCATACAGTCGTCGATGTCTGTAAATAGAAAATGGATATGAAGTATCCATACTTACCAAGGTTGGTGAGCAATCTTTACACTATCTATTTTACAAAGGGCCCAAGCTGTGGAAACGTCATGACTCTTTTAATTGCAAACTAGAGCTTACAAAAACAAGATGTCTGAAGCCAATCAAAAACAGAAATATATTTATAGAGAGAAATCTTGTCAAAAAACACAAATCTTGCCGCGAATTTTTTATTTTATTATTTTTTTTATTTTATATCTTATCAGTACCTACGCTGGAAACTACGTGAGAAGTCGTTGGTACCGTTTACACACGATGCGCAGCCGTCGTTGTCGATTAATAAAACTAGTAAATTAAAATAAGGTTAACTTTCTTAAAGAAAATCAGTGTTAGATTGGGAACCAGCTCGTTGAAAATAAAGATTTTGATTTGCAGTATAGTCTGTTTCCAGCACTAACTTGTATCACAGTGGCTTCCAGTGAATCCATCCAGGCAGTTACACGAGTAGTTGTTAACACCGTCCAAGCACGAACCACCACTGACATTGCAAGTATGATTCACGCAGTCGTCGATGTCTATAAAAAGTAATGGTGTACAGAGAAATGTTTAACGAAAAACAGATAGTTGAACAATGGATGCAAAACAGTGTATATGAATTGATGAATTAGTTCATTTCAGAATGATGTTTATTCTTGTATTCATTCTTCGAACGTTAAGTTATTTCAAAGATATTGTAAAACACTCGGATAAAGCTCGTCTTTAACAAATACTAATGATAAAGCAGTGAGGACAAAGAGGTCGAAACCAGCATACCAGAACCACATTGATCTCCAGTAAATCCTGCCACACAACTGCACGTGTAGTTATTGACACCATCTATACATGATCCACCATTAGCGCAAGTGTGATTAACGCAGTCATCTATGTCTTTGATGGATTTTAAATAGAGACAGCAACAACGTTATCAATAGTAATAATCATAAGTCAAGACAAAAGCTGGATTAACAGTCAGAAAGGGTTGGAGAAATTGTGCGTATCGGAACATTGCAAACACAAGTCAAATGTGAGTACAATAAGTCTACCTGTTCCAGGTTAAAGACAGTGGGGGGTATTAAAAGTTTCCGTTTAATCCTGGCTCAAAAAGTTTGGTTTGAATCTTTGTCATAAGTCATTCTACAATGTATTTTTTTTTCCTTTACTATATTTTGGTCTGAATAGCACCAGATATGCCAGGTATTTAAGGAAATACACGACAGTTTCTTTTTAAAAACATGTCTCGAGAGTTCTTCTGTCATCATCAGTTCTGATTTATACAAACTACAAAGTTGAATTTAAAGTGTGTAACAAAGTGCTCATTGGACCAAACAAACAATAGAAACCAAGCAATGAAAGCGATTTTGTATCTGTTCTGTTGAATGGAATAAATAAACTATTATAAAAAATACATGAAAGTCCATGAGAAAATCTACAGGCACGTCAAACTCCAGACAAATAGAAGTGCATGATGCGATAAATCAACCTACCAGTCTCACAATGATCTCCAGCAAACCCGTCCAGGCAGTTACACGAGTAATTGCTGATGCCATCTACACACGATCCATTGTTTCTACACTCATGACTGACGCAGTAATTGATGTCTAAACATTTACGAAATCAAAGCATACCACAATCACCTTTGTCATTATCATAATCATTATTATGATTATTATCATTACTATTATTATTATTATGATAAACTTACAATTGTCACTGAAAGGTGAAGATAGTTTATTGTATTTTTCATTTCTTTACTTGTTTGTGAGACTGATTGAAAAAAAAAAAGGAATCCGAAAAAGGGGAAATCAGAACAACGAGGAACTGTTTAAGAACGTTTCCACTCCAACCATCCGGCCTTAAGTAGTGAGCAAGGATTCTATCATTGTGAAGTTTATACCTTTGCAATTCTTTCCATCGCCAGTGAGCCCAAAAGGACATGGACCACAGCTTATAATCTCGCTGTTTTTGAAGCAAGTCACATTAGGGTAACAGGAATCTTCGGTGCAATTCTTTATTTTGATATCGCAGTTCGATCCAGTGAAGCCAGCATGGCA